TTTTTAACTTGGCAGGCTAATAAATGTTTTAATTATACTTTTAGCTTGATACTTATTTTAAAGCCAAACAGTAAATCTCTTTAGATTATGTTGTCATTGACTGTTAACATAGCTAACAAGGCAATAGATCTCAGGTATTTAACCATCATTACTTCTCATTGGCTCAAATCATCACAATCAACAACATGCACACTCAGAGGAATTAATCCAAACATCATATGAAAAGGTCACCTCCACCGAGTAACTATTCACAACATTTTTAATGCTTATACAGTTATAGAAATGAATAATGTTTTAAAATTTTATTTAAAACATCTCCCTTGCCCTGTGACAATATCGGAAGGCATGTTTCTCAACTTTTCCCTCTTTATCTTATCCCAAGATCTGTGTCCCTGTAAAAAACAAGCACACCAGGATTGATCATTTCTGGGATCTGGCATGGGAACTGTTCATAGAAATCCAGAATCAGAGGGACCCTGAAGCGGTTGTCTTTCTTTTCAGTATCTTCACATTTTATAAACATAAATATTACCTGGACAGCACAATGCAGTATGCCTGGGTAAGGTCCAGGGATCTGCATTTTCACAAGTATCTCCAAGTGATACTATGTGGGTTGTCCATGGACTACATATTGAGAAACACCATGGCTAGTCTTCCCTTCCATCAGCCTGCTGGCAGTATAGAAAGTACACTAGCTTCAGGTGATGAGAATCAGTTACTTTTTGCAAAGTTTACCATCTCAATGGACTGAGACTCATTCAGTCAAGTAGCATAATTCAAGGCTTTGATGTTCTGTCACTTGCCTGTTAAGAGGTGCCACTTCCCATCCTCCAACTAGAATCCCTTTATTTTGCTTCAGTCCATTTTGCTTAAAGGTATTCTACCTGTAAAAGTGTTCCTAAGGACAATAATGACAGTTTTAATTTTTTTCCATCAAATACGTGCCCTCCTTTTACATAGAGCTGACTTCAGTACCCTAGACTTCCAGTTCCCTCCTAAGGTAAGTCACTTCCCTGCCAGGAAGAAATGTTTATAATTTAATCTATTTCATTCAGAGTAAAAGCCAATGTCTTTGTGACACCAGCACCTCCACTCTGCTTCTTGTTTACTCCCACCAGCCACACCGGCCCCCTCATTCCTCAGACATGCCAGACACTGTCCTCTGCGGCCTTTATTCCAGCCATTGTGTCTGTTTGGGACATTCTCCTCCCAGACATCCACACTAAGTCTTAGCTTAATTCCCACCTTCTCCTCTTCTCGCTCATTGTTTATAATAACACTGAAATCCAACCTCTTGTCTCTTTACTCTTAATCTGCCATAACATGATCTATATTTTTTGTCTTTTATTTCCCCATAGCACTTACTTCCTTCTAGCATACTATTTAATTTACTTTTAAAATATTGTTTGCTTTTTGTTATTCTCTATTCATATTATAAACTCCATGAAAGTCAGCAACTGGAACAGTTCCTGGCATGTGGATGAAAGAACAAGTCTAATTATAATACCTGTGATAGTTCCCTTTTCATAAGCATTTGCATCGAAATCTAAGAAAGGCTACAGGAGGCAACAGTCATAAGGGTGGAACTTCTCATATTATTCAGACTCACATAAATTCATGTGTGATTCAGAAAATATATCTGATTAGTAGTATTTCTAGGTGGGTCTTAAATTATACTACAAAGATTATTAACTTCTCAGCCTACCTCTCCAGTCAGCTGTTTCAAACTCTTCAACATGAATATTGATTACTGCTATAACCACTGAGAACAGAGTAATCAGAGAAAGTAGCCAACTATATGGGAAAAGTTGCATGAGTGAGAGCCATAATTAGCGTTATCCAAATTATATCGAATATATTGTTAGAGACTTGATGTTATCTTGGCATATTGGACACATCTCTAATGATGCTTATTTTGCCAAATTTATACGAATAGCTACCTTTATGGAGAACTTACTATGTGTTATACATGATGCTAAGTGCTTCACAAACATTATATCCCTATTTCTTTAAAACAGCCCTATTAAATGTTGTGTCAGGATTCATTGGCTTGCAAGTGACAGAAAATTCAACTTCAACTGTTTTAAATAAAAACAGACAGAAGGGAGGAAAAGAATTTATGTGATTCATGTTCCTAGGAGGTCAAGAAAAAAAGTGTATTGCTATTGGTTATTCAAACACTAAAAATACCATAAGCAAAATATTAATAAAAATAACTATCTGAACATTTAAAAATAGCAAAAGTTGTGTAATTATTCTAGATTTATATCCACATATTTTAATCAATTTTAAGCCATATCTGTCTTAATACCATGTTACAGGTGTTTTTCAGAAGAATGCATTTTTTTATATGGTCTTTTTATTTTTGGTTTTTTTCAATAACACTTCCTTCAGTCTTCTTTCAAGTTGCATTTTAAGGTTAATAAATTTGAAATTTTTAACATCTCCAATTAATTTTTCTCTACACATTCTATTTTAAATTAAGAAAATGTTTTTCTATTTAAACCAGGTAACCTCAAAACATATTTTGCAAAGTGGAGAATATTCTTAAATCTGTAAATCTGCTTTATTATATTGAAATATGTAAATATTTCAGTCCATATACTTTCACAGGTACTTTCTTTCAGGGGCTTTCTTTGACAAATGTTTTTACAAGCACAACTCATTGAATAAATTTTCTTTATTTATGATTCTTTTGAATGTTTTGCCAGATACAGATGTACAGATGCTATAGAATCATAAACCTTCTCAATTTTATCCAATTCCAGCATACAATAAAGATTTATCCAATTAAAAATTAGAACTTTATGATAAGATTCTTCCCTAAATTGACCTATTCCAAAGCATAATTATAAAATTTCAGAATTAATTTCTGTAAAATGTTTGAGCTTTCCTTGTATTTGCTCACTGCTTTGCTTTTGTAGGGATAAGTTTAATCATCATTTTATTTGCACACTTCATGTTCCTAATTGCAACTTGTTAAAAGATTTAAAAGCTGAAATCTCTTAGTACTTCATTTGCTTAATAATTTGATTAAAATTTTTCAAATGAATTTGAACAAAATACAATGAAAATTTGGGATCATTTCTAAAAATGTTATTTTTATGGGACAAGAAGATTAACTGAAAAAGCAGTTCTTCAGAGGTGCAAATATTTCTAAAACCTGTCTAATAGAGGATAGCAAAGAGAAGAAGCTTGTATTTCCATGTATTTTGGTTTGATTGTTTTCAACATTATTCAACATTAGTGTCATCACATTTTGTTGTTTGGCTATAATGTGTGTATGCATGTATTTATAACTACAGCTTCTATTTTCTTTGGTGGAAAATCTTAACTTATTTGGGATTGTGAATTATGTGTTTATCACTATTATTTCCAAGTACATGTCTTCTCTATAAGCTTCTTAATTTAGTAAGAACTATGTTTTTACCATGACCCTCTTCTATGTACTTCTAAATTTCTATTTTTATGATCATAGCAAAACAAATAATAGTGCCTCAATGTTTTAAACTGATTTTACAGCGGCATTCACAATGATTTTAAATGCTTCCTCTCTAACAAAATGAACTACAAAGCTTTCCTTAGATTTCATGACTTGTATGAAAAAATTGAACCATTAGAATTAATTGATTTTCTATCTGATACTTAAAAACTCACATCACTTCTTCTGCTAATAAACCCAACATGTTAAGAGATACTGCTTCACTTTTCATTCATGTGAAAGAAAATTTGGAATTGAAAACAAACACAATTAATTTAAAACAATAATCCTTTGATCTAAATGAAAAGTCATGGCTCACACAGTGACTATGACATATATTCTGCAGCTGTATCAGTTCACTTACCTTTTTTGGGCTCATCCTTTAAAATAAACACTAACTTTTAAAATAAATACTGATGCTCCATCAGAAGATTTATGTCTTCTGGTTTCCACACATCAGTGATATCATTTATGGACCCCAAAGTAAGCAGTAAATGTTGATTGCATTATGGGCAAGTTAAGGATTCTCATCAATATGAGAAATGAAAAATCAGCACTTTTTATTTAACATATTTTTTTAGTTCATTGCTGTTGAAATGCTTTATTTCAAAAATTAAAAAATATATAAATTAATACATTTAATTTTCTCAAAAATAATTTATAAAATATATCAAAAATCTAAATAGCTGTAGATCAGTACCAAACAAAAACCAAACCTCTGTGCTAGGAGTATTCAGCCTATGCTTTTTAATGCTCTACAGGACTGCTTAGGCTCACTTTCTGGATCTGTTTTGCATACACCTAAATCATAATTTCTCTCATTTCTCGCTGACCCCTGACTTGGTGATTTCATACATCTCACGGGTTGGAGCTGGGGCTCCAGTCCACCAAGTGATTGGCAGGAATGGCACCATCATATGTTCCCTCTACTACCATCTGAGACTAGAAAAAGTGAGCTGTCCCCAGCCATGTGCTCATAGGCCTGCTGCATGTCCCTTTGAAATGGAGGCCTTAGTTACATTGGGGAATAAGAGTGACAGATTGTTCTGGGTCATTTTTCATATTTTACCATATGTTAAAGTGAAAACTTGTTTCACTGAGTGTGTGTCTCACACAATACCAGACAAGACCATGCCAAAAGCTAGAATTGCAAAGTGGAGGCCTACCAAACCTATTCCAGTTTATTTTAATGAAACTAAAGTGAGGGGCTCATGATGGTAAACCAAATGAAACTTCAGATCGGCTGACATACAGAGAGCGCTAGGCAAACCCGAGCACCTGATTACCCCAGGTGCAGGGAGCAGCCGGTGCAGAGTGAACAACGAAACTAGCCTAGGTAGGGTTCAGCAGGCACCAGGTGGTGGCAGAATGAGAAGGTGACAGAAAGACAGACAGAGGCCTGTTCATATAGAGTCTTGCAGGCCATGGCAAAGATTTTGGGTTTTAGTTTACATAACCCAATGAGCCTTTGGAAGGTATTGATCTGACTAATATTTAAACGGTCATCTAGCTGCTGTGTGGAGAACAGACTGCATAGGGTCAGGATGGAAGCCCGGCAGACCTGCTAGGAAGCCATTGCTATTGTCAGGTAAAAGGTCATGGGATGAAATGTGTAGATGTGGTAAAAAATGGGCCCATTCAAATGTGTACATGTGGTGAGAAATAGCCCAATTTAGGAAATATTTTAAATGTGTATCTGACAGGAGATGTTGATGAATTGAATGTGGAAAGTGAGAGAAAGAGAGGAGTCAAGGATAAATCCAACAGTTTAATATTTGCCTCTGGATAAATGTCAGTGCCCTGTACAGACATGAGGAACATTATGAGGGAAATGGTTGGTGGGAGGATTTAGGAGCTCAGTTTGTTTATAAATGCTAAGTTTAACATGACTAGTAAGCATCCAAGTATAATTATGAACTGGTTGGTGCAATAATGTAAGTGGGAAATCAGGAGTATAGAGGTGGTATTTATAGCCCCAGAAGTAGATAGGATCACAGAGGGAGGGAGTGTGAACAGAGAATTGCAGGCTGAGTCCCAGAGCACTCCTGTAATTATTTGTTCAATAGATATAGAGCATCTAAAAGTGATATTTTATGCAATTAATGGATGGTCATAAGCATATCAAAGTTACCACATGCTTCTTTGGAAAACAGCAACAACAAACCAATCTTCTTTGTTCCACATATTATTTTTAAAAGTTACATTGTAGAAAATGAACCAATGGGGAGGATTAGGGTACTTAGGTTTTTCTTTAATTGGCCTTCTAAAATAAATTTGTCAATGCTTTCTACAGTACTTAGTGCAGTGTTGCAACCCAATAAAAGTGATAGACTCTCATTTTACTTTATTTTTAATTAATTTCTTTACTAGAAAAATACATAGAAACTTAGCTATTACAAAATTCATAGTTTGAAATGGCTAAAGAGATAAGACAAATGCCTGAAGAAGCATTGTCAATTTGGAGATTTGCCTATCATAAAGGGTATATTTCCTAACTATAGTCATAAGCCCAATTTAATCAAAAAGTCTTGGTTTTCTCCGGACATACCAATCTGTAATTGGCACTTTAAATACTTTGCATAAAAGAGATTCTAGTAATTTATTACGCAGCTAATGACAGCTTACTGATGATGCAAGAAGATAGGTAGGAGACAAAGGACCAGAGAAACCATCGAATCAAAGCAACATAGAAGTGTTCAAGCCATTGACTGTAGAGAGACACAAAGAGAAATGATACAACATGAAGGGCTTGAGAATGAAGAGTGGACAAAAGAACCACCAAAGGTCTAATTATGGAAATTGTCAACCTCAAAGATTCCAAATCAGAGCTCTGATGTTATGGTTCAGCAAGGAAAGTTAAATTCCATCTCATTGGTATGGTCAAGTTGAAGAGCCTGCTTGATCTGGGAGCAGGAAAGCCACTGCGCTGGCATAACCTTTTAAAATCCTGTGCCATCTATATACCCAATGCCAGGCAAGAGCAAAAGAAAGAAGAATGAGCCAAATAAAAGAGTTTTTTTTTAAAAACTATCCCATGATGGTGTGGATGGTAATGATACTACTAATAATAACACATTAAATTTATAAAGAACTTTTAACAAGTGATTGTATTTGATTACCGTAATAAATCAAAGAGGTAGAAATTATCTTTAATGTGTTAGTTTCACAGATGAAGAAAATGAAACTTGGAAAGGCTCTGTACCTGCCAAAGGGCACACGGTTTGTAAGGGAAGCATAACCAGTTATCTGGTCTGTCTGGCCCCACACTGCATGCTTATTGATGCCACACGGTAGCAGGAGTGATCATAGCCTTAAGCAGCTCTGGCTGCTGGCAATATGTGCCTAATGTGTTATGTCCTAAGCATCTCAGCAAGTCTCTTTTTAAGCTTTTATTTGCTAAATATTCTTAAGAGAAAGGGCCCTAACAGCAGATTTGGATTTTCTTTAAAGTGGAATTCAAATTGTCCAGAGTAAGAGCCAGATGCAGTACTACGTACCTGTAGTCCCAGCTACTCTAGAGGATCTACAAAAGGAGCACTTGAGCCCAGGAGTTGGGAGCTGTAGTGTGTGGTGATAGCACCTGTGAATAGCCACTGCACTCCAGCCTGGGCAACATAGTAAGATCCTATATTTAAAAGGAAAACCCCCAACATGTCCAGAGTGGATCCAAATTGAACTTGATTGATGAATATCATTAAGTACTTCAAAGGGAAACTTTTCTCATAAATATGTTTAGATTAAAAGAAATGAGCCAACTAGCAAAACTCAAGTCCTGAAACCCTGAAAAGGGTGCCTAAACATTGAAAGGTCCTAACAAGATTCTTCCTGCTTTGCCATACCCAGAACACATGATCAGGAATCAAGATTGGTTACATGGTCTTGGCAGGCTTTGAATACTTCCCTCAGGTAGTCCATTTTCATTTAAAAATTCCTAGAGTTGCCAGTTATTTCTTCTTAAGATGGTTGTCCTTTGGTCCTCATCGCATCAGAGCATGATATGTGTCAGTTTCTGCTTCTCATGGGAAGCAAAGTCAGGCTACTACACACAAAAAAAAAAAAAACCATGGGAAATCTTTTCCTCCTGGAGAAATTAGACTTGAAATTGAATGACAGTTATGAGACCTTTTATCACTTATTACTGAGAGCGATTTTCCTGAGTCATCTGCTAAAAACAAACAACAGGCTGTAATGAGAGTCAAGGTTCATCCACCATGAATTACTATATAAATTCTAAATAATAGATTTATATATCTATTTCTCAATTTATCAACTTTAGATTGCATCTATTTATGCCAAACTATAAAACATTAGGATTTTAACACATATCTCTCAATTTTATTAGTTATGTTATTAGTACTTCTAGTAGTTACATTTATAACTAAATAATATATCTAGGCTTCTATTTATTCTTTATCCATCAGTTTAGAGAGTGTCTATTGACTCCTAACTAGATAAGTGAGAAAATTAATGAAACTACTTTTTCTCCTATCTATTTTTCTCCCCCCTTCCTCCAGATCCCAACTCCTATTAACTATACTATTATTCTTACAGCTTCTGTCATTATAACTGTCTCTTCTGCTTTGTCTATAAGTTGATTTTATAAATTGAAAACAAATAAACACATATGTAATATCATTATAACGTAAATATTATTTTCAGCAGAATTAAGTGAAATGATTGGATCCATAGAAAACTACATGTTATTTTATGTCATTAAGTTTCTACCACTGGAATGAGAATTTTGATTCTAAGCTCCAAGAGCAAATGGAGTCTGTTTTCCTGGCTGTACTTTGTTAATTTCCTTATAGTGTGTTCATTGTTTAGATTATGGCATTCACTGCATCTGTTGATTCTTAGAATTGCTAAATGCCTTTATTTTTCCTATTGAGAGAGGGAAAAGGCAAATAATGTTGTCTTGTCATAGAGAACTTTTAATTTCTGAAGTATGCAATTTGTAATAGAATCAACTTGCTTATTAAAGACATTCTTTACATAGCACTGTCACTAGTTTTACACAGTGCTTATTAGGCCTACTGCAAAATTATCTTCTTTTTGCATTTCACTGTGTTAGCACCACTGTGCTTTAACTCCATGTCTCAAAATTCCAGAATTCCTATTTTGTTTTGCTGGAAAGCATCCTTAAGTAATTTCTTTTGCTTTTTTTCTTTTTGGATAGCTTGTGTGAGCTCTCAAACAGAGTTCATAGTTCGGCTAGAGCTTCCAATTTGGCTGCTAGCTTTCACTACTGAATAAAAGTGTGGTGTCAATATGATTTTTGGTCCTTTGTAGATAATCTGTTTTTTCTCTCTGAGACTTCTTAGTATTTCTCATTGTTCTTAAGTTCTGAAATTTTATAAAAATACATCTAGGATTTTAATTTGCATAATCAATTGTGTCTTTAGCTCACATAAATTTTCTTCTACCATTAATTGATTTTATTTCTCATCTGTGGGAAACAGCATAATATTCTTTCCCTCAAAAATTCTAATTAGATATTTTGGTCTATTCTGGATAGATGCTTGATTAAGCATTGTCTCATAGTTTACATTCCTTTTTTATTTAGTTCTGGGAGATTGCTCTCAACCTTATCTTCCAAATCACCCAAGTTCATTTTCAGTCATATTGACTCATTATTGAATTTTTCTATTGATTTTTTTTAACCATTTAAAAATCTTACTTAATTTTTGAAAAATTTGTCTTGCTCCCTGATTACTTCTCTTTTGGAGTGGTCCAATTGTGCTTAGTGATATAATATCTTCTTGAATATATGAGGCCTATCTGGAAAGTGTCTAGCCATGTAATAAGAAAAATAGAGACATTTATTGAAGAAGATACAAGAAACATTGTACATAGGACAATGACGCCTCAGTCCCCTTCAAAGTAGGCACCTCGGGACCTCACATAGTTCTCCCGGTGTCTTTTAACCCAACCTGTACACGTTCAACATTCCAGGTGTTCTGCTTTTGCAGGCCTTCCAGAACGTGGACCACTTTCAACACATTCTCAACCATCTTTGAAGAACTTCTGCCAAACTTTTATTTGTGCTGCACTCATCGCATCATCCGCAAAAGTCTTCTGAATCATCCAAACAGTTTCCTCAGAGGAATGCAAACTCAGAGGTTAACACAAAATTTGATGCACAAATTTTGTGATAACACAAAATTTGACCGAGTTCTACTCACTCAGTCATTTTGAATGGGACGGCCACATAGTACACTTGCTCAGTCAACAGCACCTAGCGCCCCACTGACTCATATAGTGAAGTTGTCATTGTTCATGCGTGTGCACCCCATTCCACTCTCCTTGGCTGCCAGGTTACACTGATGTGCTAACCGTTCTTGGTATAGTAACAATGGCTGGATACTTTACAGATGGACCTTGTATCCCAGGATACCAACCAGATTTTTTAGGTTCTCTTCTATTATGTATACTAGCTCTATTTCTCTAGGGCCATTTATTTTATTTGTTTACTCTTGGTGACCCTCATTTATGCTATTGGTTAGGTAACTATTAACATGGGTAGGTGAGTTCATGCAATTAGCATAAGTTGGTGGCAAGGTTTTTGTTGATTTACCACAGGCCCCTTCC